TTGGATGATATTGTTAGCACCACTATTAGCGATCAAAAGACTATTTGATGCTGGATCAAAAGAAATACCAGTTGGCCCGTTCAATGGATTATTGGCAGGAGGAACTACATTAGTGCCAGCAACCACAGAAGAAGTCACTGGATTTGCGAGTATGTATTGGATCACTCGATTATTGCCAGTTTCAACGACGAAAAGTCTGTTCAAGTTACCATCATATGCAATACCACTCGGACCATTTAATCCTGAAAACACGCACATGTTTCATTGAAACACAATAATATTTGATGAAGCCTTTCGAATGATTTATTTCAGACAACATGATTTCATTTTACCAGAAACTAGCGGCATATCTGAGATTTTTTAGAGCACTAGGCTGCCATGGATAAGTATAGAAACTTATTGAGCAATTAGTATTTTCCAATGTTTTGCTTATGTAACGAACTAAAATTCTAGTGATTCGTCACCATTAACATGTCTTTACTTGTTTTCAAAATATCCTTTCGGTCAAACAAGGATACGGACAATCGGATGTTCTTGCTCAAGGATTGACATATTTTTTTTGCTAATATCTAAGAGTAATTTAAATAAGCATTATTTTCAAAACATTGAAATTTCGCACAAGGAAAGTGGTAATCGAATATTTTACAGATACATATTCAGGCATATTTGACTTTGAAAATTAGAACGCCTAGTACTTGTCATTTAATTCAATGTAAATTTATTCAAATAACTTATCATCTCAAACTATCGCATAACAATAAGGTCTATTGTGCACATAAAAATCTTCAGTTTCGAAGCAAAAGTGAACCCTTATGTTAGAACTATGAATACAATTTTTGATAACTTTAACTAGTAAAACTAAGATTTAAATCTGAACGATTTGAGAAAAATTTATTCTTATTGGAGTAACTGAAACAATTATTCCTCATCTGCACTTGGCTATCAGATATGGTGAAGTTATTAATGATATTTTAGACACTGTTGCATTCCGAAGGTTGATAATCTACGAAATGCAGCAGTTTTCATATTTTGTGCTCGTAGACCTGAGAATTAATTTATTATTAAATGATCCTCTATCGGATGTTGCAAATGCTTGAAATGTAAGGAAACAATTTGAGTCAGAAATTCGACTATCGAATTGAAGAACATCGGGACTCGCGTATTATAGTTGAAAGTCCAAAATTATCCCAATCGCATCTTTTCACGCTGAATATGGCTACACTTTGAACTAGTGACTTGGAAAACTATGAAAATAGCTTGAGAGATGAGATATTTTTTAGTGTAAACAATAAAAACCTACAAGAAAACTGAGTGACAATAGCACTTGCTATATGTATATATGTTAGTTAGTTCAGCGCGTGTTATGTCACAACCGAAGACTTCTCCAAAACATACTATTTACAGAGTTCTGCACGCACAGCTAAAGCTTTTGAACTATATCTATTGTGGTTGAGATTGAAAATGAAGAGAAGATTCTCATTCTCAAAGTAGAATAGAATCTGCGGAATATCTGGTAAAACGTTTGTTGCAGAATATTCTACTCATGAAAAACTATGCTATTCAGATTGTTGATATAAGAGTTCTGGAAACATGACGCCACCAGTAAAATGGTTGCAAATGTGTTAGAACTCGATGAAATAGACTCGTATTCTATATGTTTAAAGCTCTATTGATTAGCTATACGTCATTGGGTAAAACAGTCGAAAGTTTTGTAACTCTTACAAAAGACTGGAGCCGTGAGTGTGAATGTCATCGAGTTTTAGATGTCGTGAAATAGCAAAAATGTTTAGACTACAGTTTGTGTCATTAATAAGACTACACTAAGAAAGACATTCTTGTAAAAGCTCGGCTAATAGAACCTTAAGAAGCTTGAGCTCCTATGTGGCAGATACTTTTGAGTAACACTCTAAAAGGTTAGTACCTAGAGAAGAAGGCATATTGTTGAATACAACTCTTAAAGTATACTCTAACAGACATTTGGTCTAAACGTGGAAATCAAATTTGAGATAGAATATACTTTATTCTATCTTCCTATAAATGCCGTTTAAGAAATCGCAAAATCTCGTAAATTGCTGATGACTCAGCTCCATCTGTCCATAGACATAAGCATTTTAAGGTTTCTTCTTGTATTATTGACATCTACTAATCGACAATGAATTAGCTTGAAGTTAAGAAAACAGTTAGACTACTTTGATCATTACATGAATTCATAGGTAAGAAGCTTGTAAAATAATGGCTTCATCATTATTCTTCTAAGTCAGCATCTGATCTTAATTCTTCTTTTCAATTTGACTGAAATTTTTTTCGACTATCTATATTAATCAGTTTGATTTCAAGAAACTTTTGAAGAAAATCATACTATGTATTCTTTAGCAGGAAGATAAAACGAGACAAATGTCTCTTAATCAAAGAATAGAAGGTCATCATCTGATCGAAACGATATAGAAGACCAGCGCTTATTTTAATAAATGTCGAAGGAATTTAAAACTACAAAAATCTGCCTTAAATATACACTATCTCTCTCTAAAATATCTTCAAGAAACCGGCCATTAATTGATATTAATCTCTCGGTTCTTGGATCTTTCCTGTTTTTCGTAAAAAATCGATTATTTTTATGTTATGCACAATTGATTGCAAAAAGTGCCACGATCTTTTCAATTGAAGTTATCGAGGTCATTATTTGAACCTCAAGCTATCTTACCTGCGGCAATTGTCTGGCCTGCAGCTGCTCCTGGTGGCCAGAGCTGAATTCGGCCAGGAACGGTATCTGTCACATAGATATTACCATTTCGGTCGACAACGACACCAGTAGGGTTACTGAGCTGATTTGGGTTTCCTCCTGCGCTTCCATCTGCTTGACCAGCGACTGTCACACCCTGGGTAGCACCTATTGTCCATCTTTGAACTCTGCTAGCCCCAGTACAAACGATAAATAGTGTATTAGCTGATGCCAAAAATACATCAGTAGGAAGGTTGAGCTGTTGAGCTCCAACACCAGCCGTACCATCACCTGCTACAGTCGTGCCTGCTGGATTCCATTGAAGTGAACAGACAGGAGCTAAAAGAATATACATAATTTCAATGCGAAAGTATAGCATCAGAACCAGAAGGTATATGAGCTTCGCTCAATGTGCGAAATGTGGTTTGCGTGTATGCTGAATTTTCGATTGATATTCGTCAAGCTGAAATGATCTTTCAAGCAATACAAGGTCTTTCTTAGGCTATAGCTAGCATTTCCTGGCATACAAGCTTTTATTTGCGTTGAAATAGGAATAAGGCATGCTTTCAATCAATTTCGAGATCATGACAACATAATTTGTATAAATCGACGCAAACTTTGAGAGGATTAAACTCGACAGCATATGGGCGAAGCAACTTAGAATTTTCAAGAAAAATCGCTTTTTATCACATTGATCTCTGTTATGATCACTCACAGATTTTTCAATTTTCATCATCTCCAGAAAAATAAAAGTTGCAAACATTAAAATCACTGTTCACGGAACTTATTGGAGATTGACGAAAACCTACACGAATAATTGCAAAACACTTATACTATCTTGAGACACGGATTTCTCTATTATAGTTTGCATGAGATGATCGAACACATCAATTTGGTGCTTCGCACTGTATAAAGATGCGAAAAAAATTCAAAAATAGAATGCTAGGCATCGCATTAAAGAGAAAACTCTCAATCGACTACTTGAAAGGTGTTTCTCATAACAACTAAGCGATTTTTCGATCCTTAAGATCCTAGTCAAAATCAATGACAAAACCAAATGATTGTTGTATCATTACTATAGTGATTAGGATGTTAATGTGATTAATCATGACGTTAACTTGGTTATTATAAGATCAGAAACAAGAAGAATGACTCATGTCGGTATATCAGCCGATCCTATTCGGTCGGATCATTTATAGTAGGATTAGTTGCAACTCTAGTAAACAGAGAAGGAACTTTTGCACGACTTGATCGATGCAATTTTCTCAATCAATTTTACTTGAAACCTTGTGTAGTAGAATCAGTGACAAAATTATCACCAAAAAAGTTGATCAATTTATGAATAACAAGTTTTATTCACTGAACATTTTTATTTCTATTTGATTTCATTGCAAAAAGAGATGTGTATGAAAACAGCTCATAATATCTCATAGGTAACATTTGAATGATACTCGATCTAATATTAAAATTGTAGACAACTCAATGTTTTAAAATTTTGCTCCTAAGCTAAGTTCTCAAAATTGAAAACCGATAATATACTTGTCAAAACATACCAAAATCTATGAAATAGAAAACTCTTTACCTCTTGTTGTCGTTGTAATTCTAGCACCACCTGCACCACCGACGATGAACGGAAAAGCACCGGTTGCTCTGCAAGGGTATAACACGAGTTGAACGGAGCGTCCATTAGCAAATATGAATGTCGCTGGAAAACTTGAAGTAAATGTATTAAAAAGAGTTAAGACGTTATTGAGAAATCTTTGTTTGCAAGCTGGTGCTACGCCACATCTTCTCGGGTAAGCTATACGCATTGTGATTTGCACAGCTGACCGAGCTAATCCGAACTGATCACAAGTTGATCTGAAACAGAGTTACACAAATGTTGAGAAAGAATGCATTAGAAAAAGAATCATGCAAAATCAAGACGCACAGTTGACGTTTTTTTCTGTAAAGTTCACCACGGCGACGACGACCATTACCAGCATTTGTGCTAATACCATTGATCGTAATACTAGTGATTCTTACGGAGCCTACTGGCAAACCATAGGCAGCTTCTATCTAGAATTTTGTTCAATGTAGTTGATCAAGACATACATGATAAATAATGGAGATATAATTACTTGTCGAGCTATTTGATCCCAGTTGGTGACTGTCGTACTCTGATTAGTGATTAGTATCGTATCTGTGACGTATGTTTGTGTTATGTCACCAGTTTCTATCATAGAAAAATGAATGATCAAAATAGACAATCATTTCTCATAGCATTTTTGCAAAAAACTAAGTAATTATATGAAAAAGTTATTCGAAGAACATTAGCGACACTTACAGCCGATGTAAACTCTAATGCTATTTTCTTGATCAGTTTCTTATGGTATTAGTGATCTACAATAGTTGTCATTAAATAGAAAATGTCAAGAAAAATGAGATCCATCACTGGTCTATATTATTCATTACTTAATTTTGATTTTGACTATGATAAGGATAAGTTTTTGCATTCTATTATGGATTTAGCATGTTGGAGTGGCATTTCTCTATATTTTTTAGTTGAAGATCAGCCTTTTTGTCCTTCTGATCCTCGTACATTACCTAATAATTATTCGACAATTTAAAAGCTATACACAGGAGAACTTTCATTCATATTTAATCTAAAAATTACTTAGTACTTGCAGAAGTTGCCAGTGTTAAAATCAGATAGTGATTAGTTCCTTATGCTCTTTAACTTTTGTATATATATAAGTCTTACTACGTAATCCATGCTCGAAGTCACTCAACCGATAGCGTCAGATCCGATAGATTCTCTGAAGTATTATTGCGACAAAAGTTTCATGTATATCTATGTAAACTCTTTGAAAAAAAACATTGCTCTACTGTTGAAATATCCAATTCTTACCAGAAAGTCAAGTAAAAACCAGATAGTTCTAGGTACTTTCTCAGAAAAGTACATATCCGATCACTGTAGATCTTTTTCATTATTCATTTTGACTTTTATTCGAAATGTATACTTCATTAGTGACAGAAAATAACTTTGGAAAGCTCCATCACGACAATATGATAAATATCTTCTAAGAACTTTAAATGAGTTCTTCTGGACAAATTTCTAAGCTTCATGTCTCTTGATCAATAAAAGTTTACCAAAAGAAACTTCGTGTATAAGAAGACCACGATCATTAATCATTCTGGCACAACTTTCAAGGATGTATTTGTCTGTCTTTCTCAAAGACATAATCGGCTAATGTCAATTATTGACCTAATCCTATTTTATCGAGAGAATCGTAATAAAAATAACTTGCTCTATGAATATTAGACTGGATGATGAAGCAAACACCAAGTGTGTTCTATAACATAATGTATAACCTATCATGATATTTCAAGAAATTGATATAATAGGCGTTCTAAATTAGATATCAAGATTTTAATCCAGCATTTATCTAAGCCATACTTAGAGTTCTTTGTATAATTTATTGTAAAAAATGTTTATAGACTGCTCTTTACGAGTTTACGAAAAACTTGATGACTGCTGCTACTAGTTTATAAAACAAGTTTACTAAACATATCCATGTAACCTATGAATCATGCTCTATCTATCAAAAATGCACAATCTTTCAATGATTGTCTATTCCAATAGAAGAGAACCTTACATTTTTCGAAAAACTTTTGCAATATTTAACATAATTGACTCGAATTCGATTCGACGACGCAGAGTTCTAGAATGCAGCCTGAACTTGACTTCTCACCTTGTATATCGTCAAACTGTGCATGTGTAATGAATCATTATTCGTCTCATGGAATTAATAAGTGAAATCTCGAGAACCTAGAAATATTTAGTAATCCAGAAATTGCTTTAATTTATGTTTTACATGAGAGGTTCTAATAAATTTCTGACAAAAGAAATATGTTGACTTGACAGTACTCGTTGAAATACAACCAACTGTCGATTTTCTATTGTTAAGTTTATAAGTCATCCCAATCCAGAAAAATAATGCTTTCCCATCTTATTATTGTGTGGTTGTATCCACATAAATCTTGTTGGAAAATAATTGTTTTCAGGTAAGAAACTGACCAAATGTTATATATTTCGTCGTTCTGCTTTAATATAAGCAGTGCATGAGCAATATGAGCATTAGCATTCTCACTATTCTTCTTAAGACATTAGACAACATCGTTGAATTTAAGGTAGAGCTTCGATTTGATGATTCTCTTCTTCTTTGAATATAAATTTT